GTTATGCACCAAAAAAATTATGCATTATAATTTACATAACGTCCTTTCATAACAAACTAACATACATACCAATCTCTTAGCATCCTTCACTCTCTGTTTAGCTGCTTCAGTTGTAAACATACTATCATATTGTTACAACATGATCTACCATATCCAACACCAACAGATACCAATGTGAATTATGGTAGTTTATTGTGATCATGATCTGCAACAAATTTCACACCCAATTTGACAAAATTCAACATTCTATATCTGAAAACATCATTTGCAATTGGTATGGTGTCTTACTTTCTCACAGTCGGTGAATTTCACATAGTTATCCAATATGACACCCCAGAAGGTAGAAATACTCTCAACACTTTCTTTGTTGTTGGCTTCCAACGCCTGTTGCTGTAATTACGCAACAAACATTATTAATTTACCGTCTATAACATTACTTTTCAATATTTATTAATTTAACTCACCACTAAGAGGTATGGAAGGTAGCCAATCCTCCGGAGTGACTTTTGAGAATCGTAGCATATGGTCCAGGCGAGCAAATCGATAACCTAACAAAATTAATTACACAATCAGAACATATTCAATAAGTTTTAACATTTTCTACTTTCTACTTACCACACCGCCAACCCATTCCGTAGGCTTCAACGTTGCAACGTCGTATACAGTAGCGAATTGATTTCCCATTGAGATTACAGAATATCTGTATGAATCATTAGGATTAATATGTTGTCATGAAATATTTAAATATCACTCACAAAACAATATATTTCACTTACCCATATTCTAACTCGCTATTCCATAAATAATCACAAATTGCAGCTTCGATGTCATCAATTCCGCTTGGAATATCCGCTTTTTCAACCTACAATTTTGCATACAAATTTTTGTCACAACAACATAATAAAAATCAAATTAAGTATTCTTTTATTAAACTTACCTTCTGCTTCTTCTTCTGGGGTGCAGGACATTCCGAATCCAAAACTGCTGCTATAACACTCTCCGGTGTATAAATGACATCGACTTCCTTCCTCCTCATTTCTTCCATCTCTTCTTCTTCCTCCTCCCTCTTTTCTTCTTCATTTTTTCAGTTCATCGTACTTTTTTTCTACATAGCTCTTCATCTCTTTTATTTCACCCTTCAATTGAGCTCCTTCATCCGAGTATTTATCAACCACCTCCTTCACCCCCGTAAGTTCACTCCTCAAATCCACAACCTCCTTCACCACTCCCTCAAATTTTTCTCCCGTCACCATCTTAATATCACCCCTTAACACCCCAACTTCTTTTACCACTTCACCCCTCAACACCTCTACTTCTTTCACCACTCCATCTATTTTTCCTTCCACTACCCCCTTATGCCTCTCGAGTGTATCTTCGACTCTCTCGAGTTTCTCTACGACTTGATCAAGTTTCTCTTCGACTCTTGATTGTCTTTGCATGATTTCAAATTGGATTTTTTTGATATCAGCCAATTCAGACATCAAAATGTCGAAGTTACTCTGTTTTGCTTCACCGTCGTCCCACTCACCGTCATCCCCCAATACAACCATCCCTCCTTTCTTCTCCTCTGCCTCCACTGCCTCCTCTACATCCTTGCCAATAACCTTCAAAATTAAATTACAATATTAAGACATTGATTATATTCTTAATATTATTTAATTACATTTATTACCATTTCTTGCTTCTTCCCTCTATCCAACTTCAACTTCACCATCACTCTAACCACCTCTTCCTTCCCCCATGCACGGATGCGTGCCACTCCGGTTCTTTCATAAGCCGGCACTGCCTCACAGCTCGACCAAAAATCGAACAGTGCAACCTGCATTTATAATAAAATTTATATTTTTATATAAAAACACAAAAAAGTGATTCAACTCATTTACCTCTAAGATTGCTATGCACCCTTTGAGGTATCTCTGGCTTCCCTTTTTAAAGGTGATTATTGATTCAATCAATCTCGAATGGATATATTCAGCCCAATTGAATTCACCCTTCAAGCATTCATCGCAAATGAGCTTCATATATTCCTTGTTCGTTGACGTATCACCCGTTGGACAAAGAAATATCCCGACAAGGTACAATAGAACTCGGGCCTTCAGCTCATCCCCCCCAGTAAGATCCACTTTTGATATCCTCTTCAACTTCAGCATATGTCACCTTATGATTCAAACCATATTTGGAGGCAAGTGCTTTCCAGTTCTTACTCCTACAGACTTCTATAACACTTTTGCCTTTGTTTTGTACCCCCAATACGGCTGCAGCAGTCGATACCCCCAGAGGGAATGAATAATCACCATACTTAGCCATACATTGACTGACGTCAAATTGTGCCATCAAGGATCGACACAATTCCCTCCGAATAGGTCGATCCCTTACTCCGATCAACGATCCAAAACCTATTTCTCCCATCACATTCAACTGATCATTCTCCTTAAGGTGTTTAATTAATAAATTCACCCTTTTAATGCTGCATCTTGTCGACACTTCCTACATTTTTTAACAATATATAATGTTATAGTTCTTATATATATTTTGTATCAACGTATTTACAAGTTTAATGAATACCTTATTTTCATGTGCTTTCCTCCGTTCTTTGTACTCTTTACTATCATTCCTTGACTGTATGATGTAAGGTTCCTTTTCAGCATCACTCATTGAATTCCATTTGGACCTCACATCTTTTTTCACCTAATATTAAACATAAACGTTTCTTAATCAATACATTAACACTAAATACTAATACTACACAATGTCAATTTCATTTTACATACCGAACCGCTCTGTGTGCCATCTCCCTTCATCCTTTTGCATTCGGCCATACTGTTAACATTTAAAATTTGTAATCAATTTAAAGTTTATCGATACTTTAATCCAATTACCATTTCAACAATAATAACAAAAGGACATTGATACTTACTAGAAGTACATATATCCACCCTTTGGTTGCTTTCGAGTCTCGGCCTCAATTTCAAAGTCATCTGCTCCACCAACAATTTTCCAACCCATTGACTCCATTTTTCCTTCATATATCAGTTTACGCAAATCAAATTATTTCGTTACATACACTTTATTCAATATACAAATATAGATAACTACTCTTGTGGTAAAACGGTTTTCTTCAAAAGAATTTGAATGACCACACCAAAATGTGTCAGCACATTTATACAACCTATAATATCATTTTCTACCTATAATATTTAATAAAAGTATCGACATTTATATTTTTCCTTGAATATCTATTTCTACCTGCAATCGGTCCCAAATGCTTCCTTACTCCAAAACCCCAAACAACACATAAAAAACCCTATCGCGATTACTGTAATAATAAAAAATTAGGGTTTCGACAACATACTTTTCGATTCGACTGCAGCAACAAACAAACAAACTTCGCTTTAGAAACGCCTTCTGAAATGCAGCAACAATTACTCTTCGATTTCAAAAACTCGTCCGTTCTATCTTTTTTCAGAGGATATTTAGCTATGGCCTTTATATTTTCATCGGATATGTTATTTATATTTAATCGATACAAATACAAAAGTGTCGATACTTTTATGTCAGGTGTCGATACTTTCGAAAGGATAATTACCTATTTCTTTGAAAGTGTCGATAATTTATTACACGTACTTACGAAAGTATCGACACTTTCAATATATCCGATATCATTTTACCGGTTTTATCATTTTGATACCGGTTTTATCATATTTTTACCTGTTATATCGTTGTGGATCGATATATTTTTTTAAATTATCGACACATTATAGGCGCTATAACTGCTTCTCTTTTAAATTCACAAAGTGTCGATCCTTATATAACGTATCGACACTTTTAAATTTACCGGTTTTATCATTTTGTTACCGGTTTTATCATATTTTTACCTGGTATATCGTTTTGGATCGATATTTTTTAAAAGTATCGACACTTTTTAGGATTTAAAACTGCTTTTAAAGTTATGTAATTTATGTTTCAATTTATTTAATAGTGTTTCATGTTTTCCACCTACAATATTAATTTAATAATTTAATTTACACAAAATTTTATTTGATTGTTTTGATATTTTATAAAATATTATTTAGAATTTAAATTTAACAATATTAACCAAATATAATAATAAATATGTTTTCAACAGTGAAATAAGTATGGACACTTTTATAAAAATGATATATACTTTTTTAAAAGTTATGTAATTTATGTTTCAATTTATTTAATAGTGTTTCATGTTTTCCACCTACAATATTAATTTAATAATTTCATTTACACAAAAAATTATTTGATTGTTTTGATATTTTATAAAATATTATTTAGATTTTAAATTTAACAATATTAACTAAAGATAATAATAAATATATTTTCACAGTGAAATAAGTATGGACACTTTTATAAAAAGGATAGATAATTTACAATATAACAGGTAAAAATATGACAAAACCAGATTCATTATGACAAAACCGGTAAAATTTACTTGATATGTTAAAAGTATGGACACTTTTATAAAAAGGATAGATACTTACCGATAACCAAAGTTTACCGGTTACCAAATTTTTTAATAGTTTTTCATATTTTCTACCTAAAACATTATTAGTTGTCAACATAATAGATACCGCTAAACCGAATTTATTAAATACATTTTAATGTATCCGGTAATACTGTATATTAGCCGTATATTAACCCGCCTTTCCTGAGACATTCCCCTCCAATGGGATGCGAATTTGGATTCCTTAGTTGGAAGTGGAATCCACGAGCGAGTGTGAGAGTAGGGAAATATCAAAACATGGTACCATATTTTAAATTTGGATTAAGATTATAATTATTTTAAAGACAGGCATCTTGAATGTTGGAAATCAGCATTTTGGAATGGAAATTTAATTAAAACAACTGCGTCCCCACCACCCTGGCCCTATTACCTGAAAACCCAGCGGCTTTTTTCCATAAAAAATAATAATATTTTTCTACTCCCCTTAAATACTCTACCTTCTCCCCTTTTCTTCAATCCTCTACTTTACTTTCTCCAAATCTCTACCTTTCTGTTCAAACATCTATTTTCCTTTCACTTTCTTTCAATTTTTTTCCAAAATGCGTATGAGTTGTAATGGATGCCGGATCCTTCGTAAAGGATGCAGTGAAAATTGTAGCATTAGGCCATGTTTACAATGGATCAAAAGCCCTGAATCCCAAGCAAACGCTACCGTTTTTCTCGCCAAGTTCTATGGCCGTGCCGGTCTCATGAACCTCATCAACGCTGGCCCCGAACACCTTCGTCATGGTAAGTTCTGTTTTCATTACGCGTTTCATGGTGGTCTTTTTACTCATTTGATTTTAGATTGTTTGACTGATTTTTTTTTCTGTTGATGTTCAGATATTTTTAGGTCATTATTATACGAGGCTTGTGGGCGGATCGTGAACCCGATTTACGGTTCTGTTGGGTTATTATGGTCCGGAAGCTGGCAGCTTTGTCAAGCCGCCGTGGAAGCTGTGCTAAAAGGAGCTCCCATCATTCCGATTGCTTCTGAAGCCGCCGCGAATGGTCAAGGTCCGCCGCTAAAAGCATACGACATTCGTCATGTCTCCAAAGATGAGAACTCCGCAGCCTCCAACGATGTTCAACGAGTCAAGACTCGTTGCCGGGTTAAAAGAACTGTGAAGCCCAAGGTGGATAAGCCGGTCTTAGAGGAGAACTGCGAACAACCCGAACCGCGGCGTTACGCGGAAGAATGGTTCGAGGGAAACAGATCGACGAGTCACGAGTCATCGCTGAGTCACCAGTCTGAGTTGGCCGTTATGGATGGGGAAAGTAAAGAAACAGAGAGTATGATCTCAGAGGAAACAGTGGCGGCTTCGCGGCTGTTTCCGGCGAGGCCGGAGTTCAGAGGTAGGGTTTCGAAAGAAAGGACGGGGGAAGGAAGCGGCGAGATGGGGCTGGAGTTGACTCTGGGATTTAAGCCGGTTGCATCACGTGGCTGTGAGGTGGTGGTGCCCGTGAAGAAGAGGAGAGTGGAGGCGTTGGAGGATAGTGAAAGGTGTAAGGTTGACCTGGGGCTCGACTATCCGGCGGCTTAAACGGCATTTAAGTTTTGGCTGCACGTTTTCGGCTTTTGTTTATTTTACATAGAAGAGTTGTGGGCTTTTTGTTTTTGTAATTTCTTCTCTTTCCCTCTTTATGTAATCAGAGGAAACACATAGTTCCAATGTGGTTTACATAAATAGAAATGGTAAATTTTATAGGTGGAATCACAACAAATTTTTATTCTTCTCAACGTATATTATTCACTTGGTCAATATAATTATCTGTGTCTAATTTATTCATGAATTAATTCGAATAACTATTACAAAATAAAATATAAGAGTTACTCTTTAAACTCCATTTGTAAACTTAAGAATTTATACTCCTAAGTAAAAAAATTACTTAAAAAATCTAGTATCACATTAAAATGGACAATTTAACTTAAATTGATAAGTTTTGACCTGATTTAATCAGTTTAAGCTTCTTTTCGAGTCAAGTTTTATATAATACTAGGTCGGCTTTAAGTGGATGATAAACAACTTTTGATTCGATTATGGGATAATAAAATATTTTTCAAATAAATTTATGGATTGTTTACAATGCCTTCTCTCTCTATAGTTTTTTTTATAATTAGGTCATTAATTTATGTCAAGTCATATTGAATCAAGTTTATACTTCAAAAATCGGGTTGGATTGGATTTGGATCAAATGAAGGGTACATATTTTCGGGTCATGTTGGATGAAAAATATAGATTTTTTTTTTATTGAATTTGGTTAAGGTGGATGATATATATTTTTCAATCAAATTGATGATAAAAAATCCAACCCAACCCGACCAATTATCATCTCTATATCTCATCTCATTAGATTAATTAGTTAATTAACGATTTTTAATATAGGGATATAATCCTATTACACAATGTAAAACTCTTTTAGTTTTACACATATTTAAGATCGTTGGATGAGTATTGAGTTTAACAGTAGTAAATGAGAAGATATTCATTGAAAAAACAATGAGTTAATCTCAACCATCTATTTTCAATCATCTAACGATCCTAAATTTACGTAAAACTAAAAGAGTTTCATGTAAGTGGATCCTAATCCTTTAATATATATTATCAAATATTCTCTAAAAATATTTATATACTTGCTAAGGGGATTCTATTGTGAAAATGAAGGAATGTTCAAATCTGATCACTCCAATCACCAAGTTGTGGCTTTTATTTATCGAAAAAAATGAGTTGTGGAGTTTGGCTTTAGTTCCAAGAGAACATATAATTTATGAAAAAATTGGGATGAATTTTAGTCAAATATACAAGGTAATATATAATTCCATTTTTCTATCTTTGCACATGTGTTTTTTTATTTAATTATTTATTTACAAATCATTAAAATTAATATTGGCCCATGTCCATTGGCCGTTACTAGTTTTGAAACTTAGACCTAATCTTAGCCCAAACAAATTGGGTTCTTAAGGCTATCAGCTATTGCACGCCACATTACTATTTTTAAATATTTTTCTGAATTGATTTAAATTTTCATTTTTTTAATATTCTAACATTGAATTATTTGTTTAACTGATTAAAATAATAATATTTTAGGTTGAATTTGTGAGACAGTGTTGATGCAAGTATTTTAATAAAACCTGAAGGAAAAATATATAATATAATAACTTTGGAATATGTATTAGATGCATTGGAACTTGGATTACAGAACTTCATTTGACTTGCATGTTAATAAAAATGTCTTTTGATTATAGTTTTTGTAAGTTGTTTGGTTATTCAAAGTAAAAATGTCGTCATTTGAAATGAAATGATAATTGCTTTTATAAGTTGAAGACGATTTAGGTTAGTTGGAATGAAGCAAGAGTTGTTATATATAACAGACGAGAGATTCTAAGAATATTAGAGGTCGAAGAAAGTGACGATTTTTACATACTTTGTTTAGTCTTTATTCCATAATTTATACCTTTAGTTGCATATCTTATAGTGATGATATATGTTGATTGACTTAAGATAAGATGACAATCAATATGAAAATTTATCATGATCTTGTCTTAAATGCACTGAAATCATTTTTTGTCTTAAGGTCACTCATTTGGAATCTGGGTTTTTAGTCAAATCCGCACGTGAAATTTATTTGGTGAAGAGTATTCTCGTATCTGCACTATCGGATTAATAATTTTAGGTAAACAGATCAGTTCAATAAGTTCGTAAGTTGAATAATTTGAGATTAGAGCTTAGAATCAGATTACAATTTTTTATTGTTGAAATCTATCTTAAATCTATGAACTTTGGCTGAATGAAAATTGTTAGTTGATTAACAGTCAACGTTTATCGTTGGTGTGATAAGTTTTATATGTCTAAAGTGATGATGTGATATGTGATAATGTTATCCCTCCCTTGATTATCAAGGGAACTCTATCCTCTAAGACATTTATGCGGACAACTGGCCGTTCTTACTGACGTCTTTGCTCAACATTGGAAGCTCTTTCATCCTTTTTTCCTCTACGTTTACTTCTATGATGTTGATAAATTAACATCTCTCGGAGGGTTTTCAGAATCAATTCTTCTTCTTGTTGATTCTGCTATTGCAGCTGCGGATGGACCTCCGAGAGGCTTGAAATTATGTTTGCAGGCTTCTCAACTCTCTGTCCATAGGTCATGGACTTGTAGGTACGGTTAAGCAATGAAATCGGAAAAAAAACCCATTCAAGCCAAACTATGCGGTTCAGTTCGATTTGTGTTTTTCGTTTTGCAATTCGGTTTCAGTTTGATTTAAAAATATAATTATACAATTAAATTCGGTTTCAATTTTTCCATATGGAAACTATTTGTTTCAAATCAAATCGGATTAGAAAAAAAAATATTCACAATAAATTAATTTTGAATTTATTATAAGAAAAACTTAAATAAATAAAATATTAAAACTAATAATATTTTTATGCATTTAAGATTTGTATATTTGCACTCGATTTAAACTTTAAATTTGATATCTTAAATTTGAAAAATAATGAATAATCAAAATTATAAAATCGAATCGAAACCAAAACAAACTAAAAGCGGTGGCTTTTATATCGTTCAATTTCGGTTTCAATTTAAAAAAACAACAACAAAGTACGGTTCACTTAATATTTTATTGAAAAACTGAATCGAATACGCCCTTATTTATGGGAGGTTGTGATCATGGGTGTGTACGAATATTACTGATAGTGTTACCGGAGAAAATGGTGACCAAATTGGTCATGAACATCGTAATAAATTTTGTATGATCCGTAATATATATGCTCGTTCGTGTTATATTGTTGTTAGATAGAGAAACCATGTATGTTGGATGGATTTTGATATGAAGTCAATGAGTTGGGTTGGTTGTCTTGAAATAGCTCTTGAGACAGTCTCTCTAATAATTAACTATTTTTCGCTAATTAAGTTTGAATCTCCTTTCTATTTAAAACAAAAATTTGAAATGTAAATAAACAAACCGCAAAGAATCTCTCCACTTCACTTTTGTTGTTTTGCTTGCTGGTATTTCGTCGATGTAATATTTTATTCCTATTTAATTACTTTTCCAGGAAGAAAATCCACATGGCTTTGAAAACTTCAAACTTGTTCCGGAGCCACCCTTTTGACGGTAATTCTAGAAACCAAAGCCAAAAAAGTAGGACGTTTTTTCTTCTTTCTATTGGAAAAAAAGGGTATCTAAAAACTTAAAAGAGATAAAATTTTGGTGGGTGGCAGGGTTTTTGTTGAAGTGGAGAAGAGAAAAAGGCATACTAATTGCTAAGCCCTTGAAGCTTCAAGGGGTGGATGATGAGTTGCAAAAGATTTTGGATGCTAATATGGATGATGCACTTGCTAGAAGGAGAGCCAGGGAAGCCTTTAAGCATATTCAACTTGGAATTGATCATATTTTTTTCAAGGTCACTGCTTTTCAACTTCATTCTCCTAATATATATTTGAACTTCTCTTTTTTTTTTTTTTTTTTGTTCAAGGTCATTCATTTGGTTTTTTCCCCCTTCTGTTCTTTCATTTGAGTTGTCTTTATGCTGTCTAGAGGATTTGGTTGAGTTGGTATAGAATGAACTGACAATTGCTCAACATTCGAGTATAGAAAATGAATAAGCTATACGTAGGATTGTTTATGGGCATTCTTTCATTTTACTGTCTGATGGTTTTTAGTGATAGGTAAAAGCATTAAGTTGATTAGTTTGAGTGAAAAAATAATTTAAATTGAACAAAATTGGGTAATTCTCAAAATGAGTAAACAAATTGTGAATGTTAGAACACAATTTTCATATCCATGCCTGGTAGATATCTTTTTTTTTTTTTATTTGAGTGGTTGTTAAGTAAATGTTGCTTGGTCTACTTTGTTTGACAGACACCTCCAAATAGGCTGAAGATGGGGGTAAAAGCTTTGGGCTTGCACTTTTCGATTTAGTATCTCATTTTCAATGTGTAAGAGCTTCCAAATTCGAATGATTTTGTGTGTGTAACAATCTTCCTGAGATTTTAGCTGTTTAGTGGTTCAGTGGTGTTAATATCAAGTGAAAGGCCACCAGATTATCCTTAAGAAAGAGTTACCTTCGGCAACCGGAAAGTTTTTTTTCTTTCTAAAAGATTTCTCTGCTGTAAATATCCATGATGTTGCTTATTCAGATGCTTTTTCTTTTCCTTCTTGGACACAGTTGATGGAGTTCACACATAAGGTGTTGTCTATCTCACCAACTAAATGTTTTGTTTCCTCATGTTTGATTCATTGCAGATTTGCAATGGCTATAGTTTACTTCATAATCACTTAATATTTTGAAATTTTGTGGTATAGTCATATGAGGTGAATTCTAGGGGATTGGAAATTTTCTCGACAAGTTGGCTTCCAGAGGCCTCCCAGCCCAAGGCAATGGTGTTCTTTTGTCATGGTTATGGGGATACTTGCACATTTTTTGCTGAAGGCATGTAGTTCAGAACTAATAAGTAATAACTAATGACCTTTTTGTAGTTTTGCATATGTTGTAATGGGACCTAATTATTTGTTTGACATTGTTACCAGGAATTGCCAGGAAATTGGCATCATGTGGATATGGAGTTTTTGCAATGGATTACCCTGGATTCGGCCTGTCCGAAGGTCTTCATTGCTATATTGATAGCTTTGACAGGCTTGTGGATGATGTGATGGAGCAATACACCAAAATTAAAGGTGTGATTTTTCCACCCTAAGTCCTAATGATATTATTTTGCCTCTTTTTTTAGAACTTCTTGGTTTGCTACATAATTTTTCTTAGATAGCCTCAGGTTCCCCTAGATAGGAAAATTCATTCATAACCTTGTTCAATGAAGTAAAGTAACTTGATATGGGGATTTAGTTTAGTACACTGATTTTTTTGTGTGATTTCTTGGCAATATGCAATCCTTTATGATTTTCGTTCTATATTGCTGTTAATATTTGGGTTTCAGGAATCACCTAATCATAATTATCACTCCTAGGACTTGGAAAAAGATGAAATCATGCTTTATGCATCGTTTCCCAATTAAAAGTTATGTCCAAAAGACGTGCACCGACCTTCTGTATATGACAAATGTTGCTCTTCCATCCTCTTCAGCTGCGTAGCGTTGGTTAGATACATCACACATTTCTTAGCACTCTAGTAATAAAATGACCTGGAGAAAACCTTCACATTATTTTCCCTCTATAACTTGTGGGTTCAGCACTCCATGGGGTAGAGTTTGATTATGATATAAAATGAAGACGCAGAAGCCAGAAGGCGTTGATATGGCAGTCATATATTATGGCAGAGCACAGAAAACAAACTTCTCAACTTGAAGAAGAAACCAATAAGAACTTAAAAAAAGGATGATAGATATTTGATTTTCCGTTCGTGCTTTGTTATTGGATTTGTAAGTGAATTTATTCCTAAAATGTTCTTAAAATTTCATGTTCTCTCACATTTTCCTATCTGTAGTCGGTATAATCTGCGTGATCAAAATTTATATTCAGATGAAAATCACATTTGCATATTTGTTGTCTCGCTTCTCTACTCTATCATATTGAGTAGAAGAAATTGCACTTGCATCTTTTACTTTCTGTCTTCTCATTTCACTTTAATTGTGCAAGCAAGAATCCGGTTGAATCTTTTTCTTAAAAGAAGAGACCAGGGAGAGCTTGTGACTTAGCTGGTAGAGAGATTAATTTCAAGCACCATGTCGTCCTTTCTACTCTATCAAGTAGAAGGTCGTTGAACTTTCAGCCTTCCGTCAAAATTTGAATCGGAAGATTGCTATTTTATCTCTGCAGACATCATTATTATTAATATTATCAATATTTGCCATAACATCAGTAACAATGAACTGGGACGATTCATTTGCTTTTAGTTCTCTTGTTGTGTTACTCTTAATACGTAAGAAGATTTAGTTTTTCCGTTTCTTTTGCTGGTTCATTTTTCTTATATAAATTATTCATCAACGATGATGTTCCGTTCATAATTTTATGGGTAAAGTATAGTAATGGTCACTGAACATTTCTGAAGCTTGCATTTAGGTCCCTCAACTTTTAAAACTTGCAATACAGTCCCCCAACATTTATTCCGTTTGCAATATGGTCCCCAACTTAAATCACTGTTAGAAAATTAGGATAAATTATATAAACGGTCATTGAACTTTTTAGGCACTTGAATTTAGGTCACCAACTTTTAAAACTTGCAAAACAGTCCCCCAATAATTTTATTTTCTTATTAAATATAGATGTATAGAAAATATAAATGATTCAATTTATATTTAAATGTATGAATCATTTATATTTTTGATATATTTTATTTTTCTTGTATAAACTAGTATTTAAAATATGTTTATATTTTAATCAAAATATTTCAATATACGAATAAACATATATTTATATAAATGTATATTTATATTTAGATGTATAAATAAAAAAATATATTCATATATTAATGTATGAATCATTTATATTTTTTGAATATTTTATTTTTAATAAGAAATTAAAATTATTAATTATATTAGAAATACTCATTATATATATAATCATGAATTATAAATATGAAAAATATAATTATTAAATTTAGTTTAAAAATATATAAATCTTAAATTTATTCTTTTAAAATATTGTATCAACTAATATTTAAAAAATATATTAAATCTATCAAACAATTTATCAAATATAATATTTTTTATTGTAAAAAAATATAATATTTTCCCATCATTTATTGCTTTCAATTTTTTTGCCGAAGTTCAAATCTCATTATTTCCATTTTCCATTATATTCTTTTTTTTCTGGAATTGGTCATACTATTAGTATATGTATTATTGTATATCTCTTAACACAAACGATGGTGTTAGCTTAGTGGCTCCACCCTGTATCTTTCATTTGCGTGACTCAGGTTTGAGTTTGCCCAAGACCCAAATTTTACTTCTTTGTAACTTAATTTTCTTCTAATTAGGTGGTGACATGTGTCACCAATAACATATATCATGATCATGCGTTAACACATGTCAGATCCTGGTTAAATGATTAATTTATTAAAGTTTATTTAATTTAGGACCAAATTGATAGCATATATAAATAATTAGGTGGTGACATGTGTCACCAATGACACATGTCATGATCATGTGCTAACACATGTCAGATCCTAATTAAATGATTAATTTATTAAATTCTATTTAATTTAGGACCAAATTGATTATATAAATAATAAAGACTGAATGTATAATAATGTCAATTCCTTTTAACTGCCACTTCATCATTTGTATCAATTGGTAACGACTAGTGGCTTAGTTGAAACAGTTAAATAATTATGTTGTATGATTGATAAATTTAAAAGATCGATGACAAAAGTAAAAAGGGCTAGATAGTTAAGTTGTCAACCTAGTAGTTTACACTTTTATTTATACGTCAAAATAACATTTTATAAATTTAAAATTCGAATTATTTTCAACCTCTTCTATATCCTAACTACTTTTTTTAATTAAAAAATTTCTTCAACAGATAAGAATTATACTATTATATTTATATAAAAATACGTATCACATGAAATAAGATGAAATTAAATAATAATAAATCTGACATAATTGAATTTAATTGAATTATTTTGGAATTTAGGGTTTAGAATGAAATTGATGACTGTTTTGCAAGTTTTAAAAGTTGGGGGACCTAAATTCAAGTGTCTGAAAAGTTCAATAACCTTTTATATAATTTACCCTAATTTCTAACGGTGGTTTAAGTTGGGGGACCATATTGCAAACGGAATAAATGTTGGGGGACTGTATTGCAAGTTTTAAAAGTTGGGGGACCTAAATGCAAGCTTCAGAAATGTTCAGTGACCATTACTATACTTTACCCTATTTTTTATGTTTACTTCTGTTTAATTCAATTTCAGAGAATCTTGATTTTCGGACTCTTCCATGCTTCCTCTTCGGCCAGTCCATGGGTGGAGCAGTGGCTCTGAAGTTGCATCTAAAGCAACCTAACGCCTGGAGTGGTGCATGTCTTGTTGCTCCTATGTGCAAAGTACAGTTCTGAGCATAAACATTTTAAGGATTTTATTTACACGTTCTTTCTTATTACTTCGATTGATAAGAGTTCTTCGTGTAGATAGCTGACAACATGGTTCCACTCTGGATACTGAAGCAAATTCTGATTGGTGTGGCTAATATTCTTCCAAAACAGAAGTTAGTCCCACAGAAGGATTTGGCGGAGGCGGGATTTAGAGACATTAAGAAGAGAAAACTGGCTCGTTCCTATAATGTTATTGCTTACAAGGACAAACCACGCTTGTGGACTGCTCTGGAGATGTTGAGAATCACCAACGAGATGGAACAAAAAATATGGAAAAGGTCCAGTTTCCTTTCCCCTTTCGCTATCCACGTTTCAAAATGAAATTTGAACCAACTACTATTTTTATCGCGTTTTTTGGCCCATGATTCTTCTACTTCGTGCTTGGACACTTCCGATATTAATATTGCATGGAGAGAACGACATCGTGACGGACCCATCTGTTAGTCAAGCATTGTACGAGAAAGCAAGCAGCTCGGACAAGAATATTATCATATACAAGGATGCTGGCCATTCTCTTCTTGAAGGTGAACCAGATGACATGATTCTTAGAGTTTTCAGTGACATAGTTTCATGGCTTGATTAACATACCAGTTAAACAGCATGCTGACCACAATCTCTCTATTTCATTTCACACCCACATATTTATATATTTGTACAGAACAGTTCAATAAATGGACTAAACTGGAATAAGGTTCCATTGATTTATGTAAATTTAGGATTTCAAATTGATTTAGGGACTTCTTTAATAATCTTTTCGCCATCCAACGTTTTATTGCAGTTAAATGACAAATATTTCACCATTCATGCTTGAATCGTAGCAATTTATTTTTTTTATGTTGGAAAGTACAAAACTTCAATGATGGAGATTATAATTTTTCGGTGACCTACAATGTTAGTCAATTATGATCATGTTTTTGTTTGCTCGTGTAATTATAGAATTTTGGGTAAACTACATATTTAGTCACCTAATTATTTAGTTCTGTTTTGATCATCTAACTATTTTTTAAAATCATACTTAACGTTACATTTTGATTTTATTTTGGTCACCCGTTATTAAAAGAAAAAAGAAAAACAGTATTGTTGTCATGCTTTTTTTCTGTTGAGGAGTTGAAGAAACAAGGAGGATGTTGAACATATTCTGGAAGTTGCCAACTCAGCATAGTTGGTTATCCAGCTCAGCATGATTAGTTAATAGAATTAACAAACTTAACAAACTCAGCTGAGCTGCTAATACTAATTCTGTTGCTATGTGCTGTATAAATACAATGTACTGTATTATGAATGATGAATGAATAAAATTCTTGGTTTACTTCTTCAATCTATTCTTTCAACATGGTATCTTTCACCATTGGTCTTGGAGGCTTCTTCCCTCCGTTGCTTCTCTGGTAGTCGCTGCAAAGTTTATTTTCTTCTTCATTCACTGGTGTTTCGTCCATGGCTGCTGAAGATGGTGTGCATAACCTTGATCTTGGAGAGTCATCGAGGCACAGTCGCTTGTTTACTAACAAGAAATTTAACATTGTGCTCAATGAAATGAATTACCTGTTGTGGAAACAACAAGTTCTTTTAACAGTAAGAAGTCATCGCCTGGAACGATTGCTCACTGGAGAACTTAAATCTCCGCTGGCGCAGATTCAGTCTGAAGATGGCATCATGGCTGTTATCAACAATCAGTGATCACATTTTGCCTCAGTTCGTTGGTGCAGAAATAGCCGCGGATGTATGGTCAACGGTTCTCAAATTTTTTGCCAACCGATCCACAACGACGGTGATGAGCCTCCACTGCAAGTTAAGATCGATTAAAAAAGGCGATGAGAGTATGCGATCGTATCTTACACAGATAAAAGAGGTTTACGATGCACTAGCTGCGTGTGGCAGTGCGGTTTCAGATTTGGAACAAATAGCCACTATATTGAATGGCTTACGGTTTGATTATCAACCATTTATGGTGGTTATAACGGCGAGTAAAGAAACTTTCTCTCTTAGTGGAGTTAAGTCTGTGCTAGTTGATGCCGAGGCACAGCTTAAGAGTTTCCAGCTTCAAGCTCAAGTTTCCATGAGTGCAAATGTTGCTCGTATGCAGAGCAATAATCAAAGTCATGGTCAGTACAACTGACCTTATAGTTCGAGTGGCAGATCTGGTGCACGATCAGAAGCTCGGGGTCGAGGACGTACTAGGCTTCAGTGCCAACTATGTGGCAAGACTGGTCACTCAGTGGATAGATGTTGGCATCACTTTGATCAGAATTTTCCAGGAGTGTTAGCTCAAAAAGACGAATCTACTGCTGTAGATGTTAACTCATGTGAGGTGACTAATTCATATAATAACAATGTGCACCCTCAGGTTCATATGGTCTCTCCAACATCAGGCAGATGGATTGTAGACTCGGAAGCCACACATCATGTCACCCCCGAGGCTTCCAAGGTAATCGATGGCTTGGACTACACTGGTCCAGGTAAGCTGATCGTGGGTAATGGTCAAGCCTTAAACATTAGTATAACTGGAACTGTGGTTCTCAATGCTAAGAATCGAGCTTTGTTTCTTCATAACTTGCTACATGTTCCATCAGTTACTAAAAATTTACTTTATGTCTCAAAGTTTGCTAGAGACAATGGTGTCTACTTTGAGTTTCATGCAAAGGAGTGTCTCGTTAAAGATGAAGAAATAGATGATGTTCTGTTGCAAGAACAAGAGAGTGGTGGTTTGTATCAGTTTGTTGCCACAGTGGGCGATCAACATAGTGGTGCAAACGATTTAGAAGCAAATGTAGTTAATAAAGTTTCAAGTGATGTGAAGAGTTCTTATGTCTTGTGGCATATGAGACTTGGACATCCAGCTCATGCCTCACTTGTAAAAGCCTGTAAACACATTGGAGTTGTTTTTCCTACTACTGCGGATATTGTTAATGCAGATATGTGTGTTGCATGTAAAATGGGAAAAAGCCATAAGATTCCTTTCAATGAATCCTCTACGGTTTATACAAATCCCTTCCAGCTTGTATTCTCAGATCTATGGGGGCATTAGCTCATTGTTTCAAATAATTTTTATTATTATGTTTCGTTTGTTGATGCACACACGAGATATTGCTGGGTATACTTGTTGAAAACCAAGAATCAAGCCTTACAGGCTTACCAGTTGTTTCATGAGATGATCAAAACGCAGTTTGGTGCTGTGATTAAAGAAGTGCAAACGGACTGGGGAGGTGAGTATCGTCTTATATCTTTACTGCTGACAAAGCTGGGTGTTCACCATCGGTTGTCTTGCCCACATACTTCAGAACATAACGGTGTGGTAGAAAGAAAACACCGCGACATCATCGAATTGGCCCTTGTCTTGATGGCTCAAGCATCCTTACCGTTTAGATTTTGGTCATATGCAGTAAGCACTGCAGTTCATATAATCAATCGCTTTCCCACACGAGTTCTGCAAGGAAAGTCACCATTTGAGGAGCTATATAACAAATTACCAGATTATAGTTTTTTAAGAGTATTCGAGTGTAGGTGCTTTCCTCATCTTCGAGCGTATCAAAGTCATAAACTTAGTTATAGATCACAACCATGCACCTTCCTTGGATATAGCACACAACATAAAGGATATCAGTACATGGCGTCTGATGGGAGGATTTACATCTCGAGGCATGTCATATTTGTTGAACAAATTTTCCTTTTGCAGGTAAACAAGATGTTCAAAACAGTGGTCACAATTCTACAAAATTGGCCATACAGCTGCCTGTGGTTAATGGAGCAGGTAGAGTTTGCATGAGAGTAGGCGTGCCACATGGAAATCAAGAACAACCACCCATCGTGCATGTGCAACCTAACACGATATCTCCGGATATAGGACAACAAACGCCTAGTGCTAGTCCTACTATGGACCCAATTACGGACAGTGTGGGGCACTCGAATGAAGTTGAACAATAAGTTACCAATCAATTACCTAATGATACCAGTCTAACCCAAGGTGAGTTGCAAGGTATGATGCAGAACACGAGTGATGAAACACAGTCAGCAGCTGCTCCCATTGCTCGACACCCTATGATGACCAGGAGCAAATGCGGGATATTCAAACCAAAGCTCTATTCTACAGTACATGTCGAGGCTGAGAAGGAATCAAGCTCAATATATGAGGCGTTACAATCCCCTCAGTGGAAGACAACAGTTAATGAGGAGTATGAAGCACTAGAAAGAAACAACACATGGTCCCTTGTTAATTTGCCTGAAGGGCGATCTATAGTGGGGTACAAATGGATTTTTCGCATAAAGAAGAATGTTGATGGATCGGTGCAGAGATACAAGGCCAGGGTTGTGGCCAAGGGATTTACACAAGTCCCTGGATAGGATTTTCAGGAAACTTTCAGCCCGGTCATTAAAGCCTCTACCATTAATGTCATGTTAGCACTAACATTTTAGAACAAATGGGAGCTAAGTCAAGTTGATGTGAATAATGCTTTTTTGAATGGTGAGCTTCACGAGGATGTGTTTATGCAGCAACCTCAAGGCTTTGAGAAGGTTACCCCAGATGGTTCTCAGTTAGTCTGCAAGCTACATAAAGCTTTGTATGGTCTTCGCAAAGCCCCGTGTAACTGGTTTACAAAATTGAGGAATTATGTGGTTAGCATCAGTTTTAAGAGCTCACAAGTTGACAGCTCACTTTTTATTAAGCAAGAAGAAGGGCGAGTGATGTACATTCTGGTTTATGTCGATGATATAATCATCACTGGCTGCTCGAAGGTAGTTGTCTTGCTAAGCAAGAAGTTTTTCCTAAAAGATCTTGGTCAGTTGAACTACTTTCTTGGCATTGAAGTTAAGCATTCAGGTGATGTTATCTTCCTTAGCCAAAAGAAATACATCATGGAGTTGTTAACCAAGATGCAAATGGATACATCGACTTCAACTCCTACACCTATGATTTCTTCACTAAAGTTTTTCAAAGATTCAGGTGATGAGTTGAGTGATGCAAAAGAGTATCGAAACCTGGTGGGATCACTCTTGTATGTGTGTCATACAAGGCCGGATATTGAATTTAGTATGAACAAGTTGGCTCAATTCATGCATGCACCCCGGGAACAACACCTTATTGCAATAAAACGGGTTCTACGATATCTTCGACGGACTCTTGACTATGGTCTGGTGTTCTCTCTAAGTAATGAGCCGGTTCAACTTAAAGCGTTTTCAGATGCTGATTGGGGAGGTAGTATAGATGACCGATGCTCAATATTCGGGTGATGTGTGTATCTAGGTGGAAATCTTGTCATGTGGAGTTCAAGAAAACAAAAAACCGTATCAAGGTCCACCACTGAAGCCGAGTATCGAAGCTTAGC